GACAAAAAGAAACACGAACTGCAAAACAACGAAGCTTTCATACTTTGGAGGGCGTGCAGCGTAACGTTTTTCGAGCACCGTTGGGGTGTTCAAGGACGTATGCACACAGAACAGACCAACACAAATGACAGCCACTCTAGGAAATACCTGATGGAGGTACGAAAAAGTGTCGGGAGGTTTGAAAAACATGCAACCAAGAAACCAAGCTTCAGCCAAAGCTGTCAAAGGAATACATCACACAACTGAATCGGGAACGAAACAGGACAGGGGGGGGAGCCCGCTGACGACGCCAAGTGAAGGAGAAATGACTCGATATTCCCTTGGGGGAGTAGGTAAGGGTCACTTTTCTGTGCCCCCGATCCACCCTTCTTTGTGTAGGTACTATTGTATTCATTCGGGGGAGAAAGGTAGGAGCATTGTGTGCTTCAACCTCGGGCACGCTGTGCTCATTGTATGGGTAGGTCGGTAGGGGTTACCCCGACCTCCAGGGGATTCTACAGCAGTGCAGGCTGGTGTTTATTTTTTAGATACACCCTACAGTTACGCACGCAATATTCCAAAACAAAACTTCTATATTGAGGGCTGTTGGAAGCAGAACATTTTGGCGGGGGTACGTTCACCCGGAAAAGGAACACCCACTCACCGTCAATATGCTACATTGTCCCAACAAGTGACAGCAGGATAGTTTTTATGTCCCATGATAGAATCGATACTACAATCCATACTGCGTTCTGCCCGAGAGGTTTTTCAACGACACTCGGGACTCGAACATTGATGGATGAGAACCAATTCTACTGCTGTGTTGTCCGAGAGGTTTTTCAACGACACTCGCGACTCGACAGTAGAGGGAGAATCAACCCTACTGCTGCTCACCGCGTAGACCATGCTGCAATCTGTCCGAGAGGGTTCTCAACGACTCTCGCGACTCAACAGTAGGTGGAGAACCAATCCTACTGCTGTACCGTTTACACGTTATCCTACCGCTGTACTACAATACTGTACTACTTCTTTTCTGTGATATTTGTCGAGGTAGCCTGCTCATGTTTTGCCCTTGCCTAGTGTCCCCGTTGTTCGTGTCTTCTTGCGCGGCCATAGCCCTGACTGAACTGGCCCCCAAACCTTCGTTGTCCGTGTCGGTCTCCAGTACGTGAGCGCGGAATGTTTCGAAGATACGATCGGTATTGGAATACTCTATGTCAGCCATACGCAGTCAATCGTCAGCCTCCTGCTCACTGTCAACGGAAATTAGCCGCACCAAACATCACCAAGCATCAATAGTGTTATTGAATCTACTGTAGGGACATGGATAGGCACACGTGCGCCGTGACTCCATCGCTGTTACAAAGGGCGTTTCACGGGGTCAACGGGAAATTGAGATGAACTAAAGTACAGTATGTACCTCGCCCCCAACAGAGTATCATGGATTTACAGCAGTAGGTGAGCAAGCTCCGTGGAGGCGAAGTTGCTAGGTATGTATGGTCCACAACTGCTGTCGCACGAAAGCGTTGTGATCCCGAGCGTCTGTGTCGCCGAACATGCCAGTTTCAACATCGACCATACAGCATTCATCACGTTTGATTTCTCGAGATACGGGATGAGCCTTCCAATCATCGACTGCACACCACCTGCGCCTGCCGACCCAAAGCAAGAGAACGGGTTAACGAAAAAATCCATCTCGTCCCTACCGCGACGGGTGATCATGCCCACTGCAGTAGTGTATGAAAGACATATGTTGTCAACACCTACTTCGCGTTCTGTCCCTGCTCTACACATATGGGTTGCTAGCACATATGGATACACCCTCTTCTTTGCATCGATTCGTCTCGCCAAACATCGAAACACATGTACACCAGTACCACACATGTTCGATGCTGGCCGCGTATCTTGGACTACTGTATCCTACAGGAAGCAGCAGCAACCCCATTCCCACCCTGATGTACCGTTCAAAATAACAGCGGCCTCTCACCTTCACGGCGAGGCAGGACACAGTGGCATCAACCCGAGCGTGGGGGTGAGCAGGTCGGAACTCAGCAAGGAGCGGGCGGCCCGATTCCAATACGTAAAGCGATGTTCCATCGAAGGCGGTGGAACTGCGGGGGGCGACACGGCTAAAGAAGGCGGGCCAAAGCAACGGCAAGGCCGGGGGGAAGGCGGTGGAACTTCTGGGGCGAAACGGCCAAAATAGCGGGGCAATAGAGAAAGGATGACGATGAAGCGACACTTCTTTTTTATCGTGCGATGACACAGATCGGCGAGCTTGGTCTGCACCAGCTCAGGGAACTAGGTGTACTCACACAGCGCGGCAAGGCGAAGGCCATGAAAGCAAGAGGAAATGCACACACGTCTCAGGCGCTCCCCTCGCGTTGCGTTTCATTCCGGTATCATTTCATTTTTCGCCCGGTCGATCCACCCAGCACAGGCCACAGCTAACAGCTACCTATGACTACATCATTCAACCCAACGCAGCCTCTCGCCTTCACGGCGAGGCAGGAGTAGATGGCACTACTACCAGTACGGGAATGAACCAGAGCTCAGCAGGGACAGGGCGGGCTGCGTCCAGTCGGGGTGGCGATGTATGCAATGTACTGCTGAGTGAAGAAGGCGGTGGAACTGCTGGGGGCGAAACCGAAAAATAGCGGGGCAATAGCGAATGGAAAATTGTGAAACGGTACTTGTTTTTCATGTGGCATGTGATGACGCAGAGTCGACGAGTTTGGTGTTCACCAGCTTGGGGGAAGTGGGTGTAGTTCCACAGCGTGGCAACGCGAAATACGTGAGAAGAGGGAATGTGCAAGCCTCAGGCGCTTCCCTCGCGTTGCATGTACTCTAGATTTCTTCCAAAATTCTCCTGGTAGTCGTTACCAACAGACACGAAGCCCACCTTGCGCATTCAAAGTACAGTAGCAAAGCTCTTACCTTCACGGTGAGCCGGGAGTAGATTGCACTATATGTAGAACGCAAGGCACAAGGAGGAGAGGGCGGGCCGCGTCCAATTGGGATGGTGATGTCTGTGGACGGCAATTGAACTGCCCTGTCGCGGGCGGCACAACAGTAGTGACTGGGCGGAAAGGAGACAGCGATGATCAAACGAACATACAAGTTTTTTTTTTGCATGTGATGCCAGTCGACGAGTTAACTTTTGCTGGCTTGGGGAAAACAGATATAGTTCCACAGCATAGCAAAAGCAAACAGAGACGAAGAGGGTGTGTGTGTGTTCACATGCTTTCGGTGATTCCCTCGCGGTACGTTGCATGTTCATGGACGAAAACACACACACACGGACGGAGAAGTGTTTTGTGTTTTCAACCTCACGAAGACTGACGTATTTTTATTTTTCAACAGGCTAGCGCGGTCGATGCTAATAATAAATACTTGCTTCCACGAGCCAGCAAAATCAAGCCCAACGACTGGCATCACATGCAATACTATTCATTTTCGCTTAATCGTCGTTCTCCTTTCCACCCCGGCACTAACTGGTATTATTGTTGGTAGAGACTATTCTGGTAGTATACTGCTGTACAGCAGTATGTTGATCTACCGTACAGTTCGTCCAAAAATGGACGTATGACACGCAACGCGAGGGAAGCCCCTGAGGCTTGTACATTCCCTCTTCTCACGTAGTTGCCACGCTGTGGAACTACACCCACTTCCCCCAAGCTGGTGCACACCAAACTCGTCGACTCTGTTGTAGGAACCTCCGCAGATTGTAACCGTATGGTTGAAGTTATCCCCGTTTCCCCGGAGTTCTCCCAACGTATTTATTTGGATTATTCTGGTTTTCAGTGCTCCTACAGTCAACCCCTTTGATCAGAAGCCGCTTGGCATAGCTTCGACAAGGGTTCAGGTGAGCGTGAGTACCGCCCCCATAGCGTTGTGTTCAGTGTGACGCCTTAGCATAAATTTAGCATTGGATAGCCTCGTGAAATTGGATTGATGAGCGGTTGAGTTACAGTAGGTGTTCTTGCTGACCAGAAGTTCACCTGCAGGCTGACTAAAAGACACCACATTCGACTCTACCTCTTGTGCACATCAGAGACCCGTGACTGCATCACGAGTATCGACAGCGTTGACCAAACATTCCTTGGACCCGACGTACTAGCAGAACCACCTTTGCTAGCAGAACGACACCTCCCTTGTGATTGGTTCGCAGTGCGCCACCTCAGATCACAAATACAGCTAAAAGCTTTATATCACAGTTGGCGAAGCTGCCGAGTTTGTTTGAGTTGATCATGTCGGACCGCAAGCTTGATTCCGGGGTCTCTGAAGAGAAAGAATCGTCTAAGGGTATTGCTGTACGCCGTAGCCCGCGCCCAGCTGGTAGCGTGCAGCATACTCTCGTAGTACCCCCTCCTGCCCCCCTCTCTCTCTCGTTCCTCCCTCTGCCTCTGCTGGGGCAATGTCTGGCTCGTCGGCTTCTCCCGGCGCCGTCACCTACGCGCCGGATCTCCTTGCAGCTTCATCGACTGCTTCTACCGGGCCTGTTCTCACGGAGGCGGAACAGGTGTACCGCATCACCGAGGCCATCCGCGAACGTGGCTTCGGCAACCTGCTGGACGCCATCGCCGCCGCCCCTCCCGCGCCTGGACATCCGGACCAGTCTGGCGCCGACGGGGTCGCGTCTCTCCACGACGCGGCGGCTGCTGCTGACGCCACGGCCTTCCCTCCCACCGTTGGGGCACTCTTCTCTGGGCCCTCAACGGTGACCAGTGACGTATCCGTGACCAACGAGCTGGCGTCCGCCGACGCCGAGAACCGCCACCTCGAGGCCCATGCCCGCGCCCACTCCCCGTCGTCGGTCGCCGACGCTCACGCCGAAGTTCTCTGTGAGGAGGACGCCTACGCAGCGGTGGACCGGGAGACACGCGCGACGGACTACAACCTGCAGAAACGCGTCAATGCCGATACCGAAAAGCTGGCGGCCCTCCAAGAACAGCGGCAGCAGATGGAGACCGCGGTGGGAGCCATGGAGCGGGAGCTGGCCGTGGCGGCCGCGGCCTGTGATGCGTCCACGGCTTCAGCTGAGGAGGCGAAGCACGCCGGCTCTCCTGAGGGCGGAGGCGAGCACCGCGCTTGCTGTTCACCGCAAGCAAGTTAAACACCTGCAGGCGCTCTCCACCGCGCCCGCGCATGACCCCGCCCTGCCGGTGGCCGAGGGGAAAACAGTGTCGGATGCCGCTGCTGCTGCATCGGGGGGCAACTCCCCCCGCGCGCCCGCTGCCACTACCGCCGGTTTCGAGCTTCAGAAGGGCGACTTCCCGCAGCTGCCATCGCTGAAGGGGGAGACCGCCTCGCCGGGGCGACGGTCGCGCACGCCGCCGGCGCTCATCACCGTGGGGTACGTGACTCCGGCGGAGGCGGGGGAGAGGGCCGGCGACACGCCTGCTTCGGACACTCCAGCGGCGCCAACCGCCGACACCGTCGCCGCCGCCGAAACCGCCTCCGCTGCCGGGGTGGAGCCACCGCCGCTACACGCCCTCCGTATGACGGACTCGGAGAAGGCGCAACTGATCAAACAGCAGCAGGCGGAACAGCGGGGGTGGCACGAGCGTGACGCTGAGGACCTAGCGGCGGAGGCAGCGGCTGGAGGAGACGGCGCGGGGGGGGTAACGGCGCCGCCCACCGCCCGGGAGGTACATGCCGCGGCTGAGAGGGCCGTCCAGCGTGCCCAAGCAGTGGAGGTAGAGGCACGCGACGCGAAGTAGGTCGCCCGGGTGCAGCAGTACAAGAAGCACAACGCGGGGGTCTCGCTGGAGGAAGTGGTCCACCGGGTGTGGGAGTCATACGCCAACAGCTTCTACCTGTACCACCCCGACACAACCCCCGCTCCGCCCAGCGAACCACCCGCGTGTACCTCGGGGCGATAGCGGCTTCGACAACATCGCCACGTGACACATGGACTCAGCTTGAGGCGGCGTCGCCGGGACCGTCGCCGCCGGAGAGGATAGCGGCGCCGCAACCCCCGGTATTTGTCACGGTGGGGGAGGCGGCGAGGTCGTCGGCGTGCGGTCGTGCCTCTCGCGCGGCCGCCGCGGCCGTCCTGCGCTATTCCTATCTAGACTACGGTGCTCTGGGTACTCCGCTCGTGTGTGCGAGGAAGCGGGCGTGTCCTTTGCCCTTTACTAGTTCTCTTCTGTTCTTTTTCTTTCTGAGGGGTTGGGTTTTGGTGTCGGGTCATGACTCCCGATCACTACCCCGCTCCTCTTCTCGTTATCACTCTGGATGGATACTCGCTGCACCTCCAGGATTTCGCTCTGGATTGGTACTCGCTGCGCCTCCAGGATTTGCTCCATATGTAGATTCTCCCTACTGCTCCTACTCTCTCTGCTGCTGCTGCTGTCCCTATTTTGTACACGTTTATCGATTGGTGTTGCGGATGTCGACGGCCCCATGCTACTGGGGCTGCCTCCCTTACCCATTACTGGTACCGATGCTGCCGCCGCCGGGAGGTGGTAGCTCCCGCCGCCGAGATACTAATGGCTCGAAGAATTAGATTTTTCGCCATATTCTCTACGGGCCCTAGCACACTTTGTTGTTTATTTTTGAGGGTTGTCAGCACGTCACGCCAACGTTCCTCAACCTCCTTTGAGGTACCTTCCCCAAACGCTTTGTTGAATTGTCCACACGCGTTCGTGTATTGCTGGTCGCAGCTGCGGAGGTGGTGCTCCTCTCACTTGCAGTTGAGCACACCTCCCCACTTCTCCCTACCCTCTTTGGCCTCTTTTGAGTTGAAGGAATATCGGAACAGCCTAATGCCTCTGGTCTGTTTTCTCGCCGGTGGTTGGTTGTGCTTTCACCTCCATCACTTCCTGCCAATCATCCTCTTCTACAGAATCATATGTCCCACCACGCACCATCATGACTCGCGGCTGCTGTGATTTGCTCTGTGTGGGGAAAGAGTGTCTAGCCGGGGCCGCTCCTACTCCAATTACGTGGGGAAGGCATGTCATCGGAGGTGTCGTTGAGCCCGATTTTCTATTATTAGTGGATGCATGAGTTAATTTTGATAGGCGACGGCATTTTTTTATTTGGCGTGGAGCAGAGTTGGGTGGGTCGGTGACTACAGAATCGTATCATTACCCCTCTCAAAGCGATCCTCAGATAATAGCAATCCTGGCGTGCTCTTCAGATCTTTGCCGAATACGACATTTTCAAGTTTACGAATAGGAACAGCCGAGAGAGACAGGAAATTTGATTGTCTTTACTGAGACAGGATGATAATGGTCAGTTCTGGTAAGAGGAGGAACAACGTTGGGTGTCCTCGGCAGGGCCTATGGGCCAGGGGTAAAACCCTGGTTTTCTATGGGGCTGCCGGTGGCATTCCAGGGTTGGGCAGCGTTGGGTGTCCTCGGCAAGGCCTATCGGCCGGGGGTAAAGCGCTGGTTTTCTACAGGGCTGTTGGTGGTATTCCAGGGTTGTTTAGAATCCTGCTTGGTTGAGGCGGTAGTTGGGATCATCTCGGGCAGAAGGGTTCAGCCAAGTAAGCAATTTGAAAGTACGTTTTCCGCGGTTGAGAAGAGTTGGTTTCAGCCCAATTAGTCTGGAACCATAAGAAGTATATGTCTTGATATGGGTGGGTCGGACTGGCCACAAGGATTGAAGCCTTCACCCCTATTTCGGTAAAGTTCCCCCTAGGAGATCAATATGGAGAACCGTGTCCCGCATTTAGATGCACCAAGTCGAAGTAAGGAAAGCCGAGAAAATGTCGATACCCGTGTAGGAGGAGCAATTATGAGTCAAAGGATTAGAGTATTTAGCTGTGGTAAACGGGGAATTTGATTATTTCGAAGAGCTTCCTACCGTTTTTGTTATTTGCTTTTCCACGAAATATTTGAGGGTAATTGTTTCGGAAAAAGCAAAGGTGGGTCAATGTTGTAGGAAGCTCCGCAGATTGTAACCGTATGGTTGAAGTTATCCCCGTTTCCCCGGAGTTCCTAACGTATTTATTTGGATTATTCTGGTTTTCAGTGCTCCTACAGCCAACCCCTTTGATCAGAAGCCGCTTGGCATAGCTTCGACAAGGGTTCAGGTGAGCATGAGTGCCGTCCCCATAGCGTTGCGTTCAGTGTGACGCCTTAGCATTGCATTGGATAGCCTCGTGAAATTGGATTGATAAGCGGTTGAGTTACAGTAGGTGTTCTTGCTGACCAGAAGCTCACCTGCAGGCTGACTAAAAGACACCACACATTCGACTCTACCTCTAAGAGGTGCACTTGCAAGACTTGTGCACATCAGAGACCCGTGACTGCATCACGAGTATCGACAGCGTTGACCAAACATTCCTTGGACCCGACGTACTAGCAGAACCATCTTTGCTAGCAGAACGACACCTCCCTCTTGTGATTGGTTCGCAGTGCGCCACCTCAGAACACAAACACAGCTAAACGGTTTTTTTTTTTTTTTCTTAATATGACACAACGAATCCATCTCTATCATAGAAAAGAGTCTGAGACAGATTAGCAATGAATTCATAGCGTCAGAAAGTACCTGTGTCTACGGTTTCCCAGACAGCATATAGGGACATCTCCCCTGCGGGTAACAGGCTCAACAAGACAGTTTGGTAGCTGTCTTGTGTGTCTCATATATGTTATGTTGGGAAGGTGTAGAAGAAATGTGTTAGGTACTGGTCGGGCGTTTTGTGTGTGGCACCCTTGTTGTAGTCGTAGGGCATGTATGTAATCTCCCTCAGTTTTCAAACGTATTTTCAATGTGGTACGCGTATACCGGGTTGTATATTAATATGTGCGGACACACATCTCGGATCATGTGCGGGCACACGGGAGTGGTGTCACCATTTTCTTACCTTTTTGTGTAATTTCGTGTCGTTTAATGTGCAAATGGCGCGGGAGAACTTTCATCATTGCCTCCTGACGTGGTCGCCGATAGAGGCGTGTGGTTGAGGTTTCATTACCGACATGTGGGTGTGTGTTAAATGCAGTGGGTATGGTTACCTATCTCGCCCGTGTGTAGGCAGACGGTATGGCTACCTCTCCCATTAGTAGGGAGCGTGGACCACAGGTAAAGACAGGGTCCATCATTTCATGTATGTTACAACTTAATTTGTATTTGGCATGAGAGGAATAAATAAGAGGTTGTTCTAGTTTGTAAGGAACTTTGACGGTGCATGGGCACGAGGAGTACTCCCTGTGTCCGTGTTGTACCCAGGTCTTGTCGCATCATCAGTTGTCGCATCAGTTGGCAGCACGTGTCATGGACAGGTAGACGTGGAATGGCGGCGACAGGTGAAGCGCGGCGACAGGTGAAGGCAGCCGCAGTATGTTGTGCATGGTGGCATGTTGGGCTTGTACATAGCGTAGTCCATCCTTCGACCACACACAAAGGAGTTTGTTCGTACCTGTGGGGATTTTTCGGAGTCCTGGGTCAGCCAAAAGCAGCAGCAAGGAGCAAATGCAGTGCAGTATGCTACTACAGCTTTACAGTCCGTCCTCCTCAGGTCCTATCGGAGATGATTAGTATCGCACAACGGCTGGATCCGAAATGCCGGCTAGCTCCGCAATCCAAGAGAGGTGGGTGGCTGAGCTAAAAACGGAATGACTGCATGCGTGCTCCTCTCAGCAGATTGATGTGGCTGGCTGGCTCTTTGAAGTGCAGATTTCAGCGGAGTTTGTCGGAATTCCCAATTTTTCCGTTGCCACCTGGGTGTATGGGAGTTTTACATGAAAGGTGCACAGAAATCGATTATCCTAATTGCAAGGGACACGTTTCATTTTCAGTGTTCCCCCTTGCGGTTTCGACGGTCAAATATGCGGTTGCCCACAGATTTTCGCATCGCTATAAGCTATCAAGCTCCTAATGAAGTATGTGTGTGCAGTTTTGGTAGCGCAAAAAGCAAATTGAACGGGAATTTTACGTCATAAATTACATACCAGCGAGCTTATTGATTATACAGATAGACATTACACAACATAACAACATTTCAGGAATTGCTGAACAAAAGAATGAAACACTTCCTAATAAAGCGAAACATAATCAAAACAAAACCAACACATGATAGCACGTAAGCTAATCTAACAAGAAGTCGTTCGTATCTTTTCATCCACCAAAAACTTATTTATGTTGTCGGTCAATGGTCGTCTGTTTCACCAACTCCAACTCTCCGTGTACTGTCCTATACCCCGGTCCTTCAAGTTCTGCTTTGGCTAACCTAATATAGCACGCCTTACATGTGATACAAATGCAGTTGGCCGCTTTGTCGACTCTCGTAAACACCACCTTCTTGTGCAATTGGTGAAAGGATGCCCTAGCTGCAGCAAAATCTATGTGGTTCGTAAGAGGCTTAAAAACTTCCTTGTCCGCGTCAGTCACTGCTGTTTGTTCTATCGCGTCGTACAAAGCATCTTGCCAGTCCTCACTGTCACCGCGTGGTACCTTGAGTTCATGACATAATAAGTCGCCAACGTACGATTCTGTGGCATCTATGAGCGATTTAAAGAAAGACAATTTATTCAAGGCCTCCGCCTTTTCTGCTCTAAAACCAGCTTGCAGGTTTAGCACAGCTGCAGCGTTGGCATCGTATGCACCAGCAGGGATATTCCCTCTGTCTTTTGCAGTGGCTAACCAGATGTCTCGTCTTCTCCACAGCGAGTAGCATAATGCATTGTGGGTGGTTGCTTTCCGACGCCTGTTTCGATCGCTCGTAAACCAAGCGCATTTTCCCGACCTTAGTGTTCGGGTCCCATGTGTG